GGTGACCCCCACCTGATGAGTAATTATAGACCCATTTCTACTTTAACTTCTTTTTTCCAAAATTCTTGAACGTATTATTTATACTCGCACATCTGAGTTTTTAAAGAAAAACAATATTATATCTGATGTTCAATATGGGTTCAGAGAGAATCACTCAACCTCACATGCTATCCTGCAACTAATTGACAAAATTACCACAGGACGCGAACAGTCTTGCCATACTCTGGGAATTTTCCTGGACCTCTCCAAGGCATTTGATACTGTTGATCATGAAATTCTCTTATCGAAACTTAACTTTTATGGAATTAGAGGTATTGCCTTGGAGTGGTTCAGGAATTATCTTACTAATCGTCAACAGTTTGTTTGTATTGATGACAAGAAATCTAACCTTAAAGAATTAACGTGTGAAGTACCACAGGGTTCCTTACTGGCTCCTTTGTTGTTTTCTATTTATATTAATGATTTTGATAAATCTTCTGAGATTCTTTCCTTCATACTTTTGCTGATGATTCAAATTTATTTTATTCCCATAAAAACGTAGACAATCTTATTGATACAGTTAACCGGGAGCTCACTCATGTTTCAAACTGGATTAAAGCTAACAAGTTGTCTATTAATATTGATAAAACTAGTTTCATGTTATTCAGCAACACAGTTTCTTGTCTTCCTCAAGATATTTGATTCGATAATTCACCGATTACTCAAACTGACTGTATTAAATTTTTAGGTTTGTTTATTGATGCCAAGCTATCTTGGAGTCAACACATTAATTACCTTAGTAAACTAATGTCGAGAAACATAGGCATTATCAGTAAATTGAAATATGTCTTTCCGTCCGAGGTTTTACATAATATTTACAATTCTTTGATTTTATCACATATTACCTATGGTACTCTAGCCTGGGGAAATACACATTTTGTAAATACAATTTTTATTTTACAAAAACGGGCATTGAGAATTATTGATCATGTAGACTTTAGAGCTCACTCAAATCCATTATTCATTAGACATAAGACTCTTAAAGTCAATGATATTTATTTACTCCAGTTAGGAGTTTTTATGTATAAGTTCTTTAAACATGAATTACCTAATTATTTCCAATCTATGTTTTGTATAAATACTTCTGTCCATCAATATTATACTAGACATACCAGTGACATTCATATCCCATTTACACGTACTTCATTTGCCCAAAAAGGAATTCGTTTTCAAGTATCTAAGTTCTGGAATTCTTTGCATAATGACACTAAATGTGTTAACAGTCGTCGTTTATTTAAGCGAAAATTGAAGTGTATCTTACTGGGAAAATATCAAACCAGTTGATTCGACTTGATTGAATACAGTTCATTTATATTATTTACCTTATTATCATAACCCCTCATGTTGGATGATCATCGTGAACAATACCCTATACTGCTGTGCAGTACGTCCTCGTCTTTGTCCTAGTCCTTGTTGCTTGTGTAACTTAGTCATTATTACTTAGTGTATAGCATTCAATTTAACTATGTCTGTTAAATCTAATACTTTAAGCTATGCACATTATGGGGGTCTCTACTCGACAAGCCCTGCTTTTTGGAGGCCCCCACCACTTAATTGCCCTTCATTCTAATTATACCAATTTTCCATGTATTGTTATTTGATTGAGTGGAAATAAAGTATTGAAAAAAAAAAAAAAAATAAAGCATATACGAAATTTGTTGATGCTTGTTGACGACCGTTGATGTGATCGTTAGATGTGAATTCCTGATGAGCATGTTAAGCTGGAGTTACATACTCAGACAAATCAAAAACAGACTTTTCTCCATTCTAATGACACCCATTTTGCAATTTTGAACAGATTCTTGGTGTAGAAATCACGATTTTCCTGCATGGTTTGTGCCTTGCGATTCAGCACGCCTAGTGTGCTCACGGTACATCGTGCGGTGATTGCCATCTTTATATTCGGGTTGCGTGTTGTCATCGCGCTGTCATCATCAGTTTACCCCCAAATTTCCCTCAAAAAATCAAAACCCTGCCCTCTAATTCTATCTAATAATCTATCGTCTATGACATGGGCCAAGCCTACCTCACCTGTTTTATATTGAGAATGTCGCCAACTAGTTTGTACTAGGTCCAATAATTTAAAGTGGATTTTGTTCCCTTATACTATAGGAACCGGGCCCTACACAACACGATCGCCAAGTATTAAGTTGGGTCCAACTCCAAGTTAATATGCATCATCCAGCATTTGTCCAGTTTGACTTCACGCCGGTGCCGTGCAACTATTTTACGTAGGAAAAAAAGCTTAGTACTAGTACTAGTAGTAGTAGTAGTAGTAGTATAGTCGGACTCCCTATTATCGCGGCATCCCTATTATCGCGGCATGGGAAATTTCTCTTTTTACAGTGTCAAAACTCCTTCAAGTGGCGATTTTTATCCAGTTCACCAGTCATCAAGGATTTTCTACCGAGTTGTATAAAAAGGACGATTAAAAAATGTTGTGTCTTTCGGGACTTTTAACGATTTTAATAAATATTAACGTTTTCCAAAACTTGCAAAATTTTCCCTCACCGTGTCTGCTAAAAGGTACCGTTTATATTTTAACATAAATCTTTAATTGCGCTCTGTCCATGAAAGTTCCATTGTCTGGTTCCCATTCTTCAGCTGCAAATGTAAAATGAAGTCGAACGACGATATTTGCAGCGCGAAATCGTAACAACTTTTACGGGATCAAAATAAGCACCGCGCGTTAGCGAAAATAAAACGGCACACCGTGTAAAGTGAATGGCGCCCTCAATCGCCGATCAGTAGACTTGCCTCAGGGATTTGTGTTCTCCTTTCGGGGGAAGGGCAGGGTCTTAAGAAATCATCCTGCAGACATTTTGTCTTTAATCAACTTGAACGTTACAGGGAAAATATCAGACTTTATTCAGGGGGTGTTTGGTCAAACATAAACTATGAACAAAAAAGTTGGGATCATTATAAAAACCACTTCCCGCATACCGCGATAATAGGGAGTCCACCTCCGTTCGCACACGCTGCGCATGTCTATTTTCACAGGCATCGTACACGGAATAAACCAAACCAGATTTTTTTATATTAATTTAAAAAGGAAGAGTTATACTACACATAAGACAGGACAATTCTGGAAGGTTAGTGGGCAATCTCTATTCCAAACGAGAAACGTGATAAGTACCGCGATAATACGGCGTTCCATCCTACTACGTAGTACTAGTAGGCCCTAGCCTAGCTCTACTGAGTGGAGCGTTGAATTACGGGTACCCCTCCATACCAACGCTCCACCGATTCGCCATACTTTGGTAGCACCATCACAGTAGCATAGTCACAAACCCACGCGAGGACAAAACGACCCCCCCAAAAAACGGTAAAGAGATTACAAATGAGAGAGACAGTTATCCTGGATTGATCTATACATTCTTGACATTCCATGAGACCCCTTATATTGTTCCCAAACAGCGAACATTTTGGAAAAAAAAAGAAAAATAGTCTGAAAACTTACAGTTCAATGTGTTTGCATGGAGGCTCTGTTCTTGAATTAGCTTGTCAATGAGGGCGTCTGACGTGACGTCACCGTCGTTGCTCGATCGCGAAGAAAAACAAGTCGCGCTTTATCAACGACTGTTTCGTGTAATAATACGTGCTCCTTGGGTGTGTTCAAAGCCCATACTGTCGTACGGCGCGGATCGGAGCACGTATCATTACACGAAACAGTCGTTGATAAAGCGCGACTTGTTTTTCTTCGCGATCGAGCAACGACGGTGACGTCACGTCAGACGCCCTCATTGACAAGCTAATTCAAGAACTGAGCCTCCATGCAAACACATTGAACTGTAAGTTTTCAGACTATTTTTCTGTTTTTAGCTGCGACAGTAAACAGCCGTCGAATTATACGAAGGACGGTACAATAAAACGCAATGCGCATGCGTCACTTGGGAGAAAATGGCAGCTAGCAGGACTTCATAAACCGGGGCCAGAATTTTCCTCAAATTTCGTCAAATGCAAGTTTTGATGTAGCCTACAAATAGATTTCAAGACAGCTTCATATGTGAGTACTTATTACATTTGCAAAATAAAGTCCAGTGTGTGTAATGGAGGGAGTCAGAGGGACCATTTCGCCAGGTTCAGAAATACACAACAGCGTGGCGTAGTTTACAAGCCACGGTCTAGGCTATAGTAGGCCCCGGCCCTAGGCTAGTTAGGCCTATGCTAGACCCGTGAACGTGGCTTGTAAACTACGCCACGTTCTTATGTCATTTCGAACCTGGCGAACGTGTCCCTCTGACTCCCTCCGTTACACACACTGGACGTTATTTTGCCCATGTAATAAGTACTCACATATGAAGCTGTTTTGAATTCTATTTGTACGTCAAAACTTGCATTTGACGAAAATTGAGGAAAATTCTGGCCCCGGTTCATGAAGTCCGTTCGCTACTGCTAGCTGCCATTTTCTCCCAACTGACGCATGCGCATTGCGTTTTATTTTCGCATGATTCGACGGCTGTTTACTGTCGCAGCTAAAACAGACATCGTTTTAGACAAGTTTCAAGTCCTTTCCTCTCTCACCGCACCGCACGCGGTCGCACGTGCGCCCGCGTGTGTGTGCACACACGTACTGTACACGAGATGAGCCGAGCAGCCAATCGTCTGCGGGTTTTTTTTTTTCGGGGTTGCGACATGCAACAGCCGTCAATCTGTCCAAGCGACTCAGACGCGTCGGGGGTTATTTGTCAGGATCAGGTTAAAATCTAATTTCTACACGTTCGTATGGGTCTTTACTGATGGGCAAATTTCGTCGAAATTACACAGCCGAAACAATCGGACGGGCAAATTTAGATTTCTAGGTGAGTACTCAACACCCATACGGAATTATGTATGTCGGATCGATTTCGCCAGGTTCGAAATGAAACAAGAACGTGGCGTTGTATACAACGCCACGTTCACGGGTCTAGGCCTATGCCTGTAACAGTGTAAGTGTAAGTGTAACTTTGCAGGGGACTCACCCAATCCTTGCAGTCGCTGAAGTAAAGTGGTTAAACTAGATTTTTCATCAAAAGTGCTACGTGTAGCCATGATGAAGCTCAGCTTCCGTCTCAGCTCAGATCATGAGTAGTTCCGTGGTATTTAGTAGGCCTGTAGACGAATATTTATGCGGTGGATCGATCACAATCACCGGTTGTATTGCAATGCTCCACTATAAAATCGGACACTGGGTATATTTTTGTACAGTACCGATGAAACACGATAACATCGTTTGGTTATGAGGACGGCGCCCCTAGCGTTAAGTAGGTAAACGCGCGAGAGTGACTCACATCGGTTTGCTCGTACCCGTCTAGTCTACGTACGTCTACGTCTCCGCCCTAGCCCTGCTTGCAGGGCGGGGGGCCGGGGACGAGCGAACTCACGCGTCACATGCACATCGGTAGCCTTGACCAAGGCTATCAGCTTGTTCCCATACGAACTTGTTCCCGCTACCGCACACCGCGCGCGCCGCGACACAATCACTAGTTGTACTATACCGTTAGCCTCAACGACCCTTGCGTGTGCTTTGTGTGCATGTACGTACGCCCCCCACACACTTCCGCAAACAGCCGTACGTACAGCAAGTCGAGGCGGAAGATAGCCTTGACGCAACCGTGGCGAATTCTTATGTGTTTCTTTATAGTTTCGACCGAAATCGGCCGAAAATTTCTGATGCGCATATATTACACGATATCCAATCAAAGCCCGTAAACTTTGACCCGCGATATACATATTAATGACCCGCAAATTACTGGTCCCATTTTAAACCATTTCTCCAGTTTTATTACAAACAAATAAAATATGCCGCTATATGAGTGAACAATTGTTCAAAATGATATATTTCCAATGTATTGCGAATTGGACAGTTCAAGACAGTCCGCCGACGTTTTGTCGGTGCAACAGCGTACATTATCACGCCGCTACCTGCCCGTGCTATTCTGACAGAGAATGTAGGGAACAGGTCAACTCGGACCCAGGTCAAATCGTACCCATTTAATCGAATGCAGGTTAACTCGTATCAATAAGCACCCGTATGAATTAAGTGCAAGAAACGAGCTATTGACTTTGAGATGGAAATATACGAAACTGTCAGGTACATGGTGAAAAAAAAACTCTCCATGAATTCGTAACATGTGCAACATACATGTACATCTCATACGTACGACACATGTATTTTAACGCGTACGTATGAATCGTATGTCGTACCTACGACATACATACGACATGTAAGTCGTAGATGTAAATCGCACGAGATACAAGTCGTTCTCACAAGATATGTTGTATGTACGACATAATCGACAAACAAGTCGAACATACGAGTTACAATTCATATTTTGTACACACGAGATATTAAGTCGTACTTATATATACGACTTTGTCGTATGCGACATATATCGTACCCTGTCGACTCGACTTATGCACAACATATATGTCGTACCGGCACCTGTCGACATTATGTCATATGTTTGATATGTCATACCCTGTCGACATATATGTCGTAACCTGTCGATGATATTAGTCGTACCCTGTCGAAATATGTCGTACCCTGTCAATATATTAGTCGTACATATGACATATAACTTATAAGTTGTTCATACAAGTTAAAATCAGTCTTACAGAATAAGTTTGCTGAAGGAGAGATACCCCTCCCCCCCAAAAAAAGTCAGCGGTAGATACATACTTAATAGTGTGAGCGCTTTTTTGGCCGCTGAACGTGAAAGCGCAGCGTGTCTCACTGCATGGCGCCAGCCGGGCCGGTGCCTACAGTGGACGGCCCCAACGTGGCCTCTGTGCATGGTGACATCGTTTTTGCCGGCGTGCGGTTTTGTACCGTTTGCCGTTTTTTGAAGGTCTAATTTTTCATCCTTTTCATTTCATTTTTGACCCAAACTATGTGTAACTTTATAAATATTATTCTACTATTATTTAAGATTTTAAGGGGGTGCTTTACAATAATTATTGTTACCACACGCCGTCTGGTTTATAAACCTTTGGTCGTATTATGCAATTTAATAAATATTCATATTTTTGTCAGCCGTTATCCAATGAGAGAAGACTATTTACCATAGCGCGAACTAATTATCATATTCAGCATACACGGTTGCGTCAAGGCTATCTTCTGCCTCGACTTACTGTACGGCTGTTTGCGGAAGTGAGTGTGGGGCGTACGTACATGCACACAAAGCACACGCAAGGGTCGTTGGGGCTAACGGTATAGTACAACATTGTGTTGCTGGGCGCGCCGTGTGCGGTAGCGGGAACAAGTTCATATGGGAACAAGCTGATAGCCTTGGTCAAGGCTAGCACATCGGGTGTAAAATGCGATGGGTATTTCATTGATGAAAAAGATAAGATGAAGTGAAGAAATAAAGTGAAGAATAAAGGATTAAATTAATAAAAGGGGAATAAAAGACCGTTCAGTGAAAATAGTATATAACATGTTGAGAATACACGGTACTATACTAGAAGGCCCTGGCCCTACAATGGTAGTCATTGGGAAGGAGACCGCGCCAATGAATCATAACCATAGAGCTATATAGCTCTATGATCGTAACTCAAGCGGGAATGGATCTAACGACGTTTCAGTTAGCCACGCCCCTTAGACAACCCTATGGAATTTTTGTACACTCAGTTTTTATTTGTCTCAAATTTTGCGCGTTCGTTGTCCATTTGTGGAAACCGGATTCAAGGTTTTCACATTGAGAATTTGAGAAAGACATCAACATTTTATTTGTGTAATTATTTACGTGTACAATTAGTTTTCAAGTAGAAACCATTGCTCATAATAATGCTTGAGCTTGCGGCGATCCCCTTCAATTTTTTGACGGTATTTTTTAATATTATTTTAAAAATCGATTTACATGTCATCACTGGAACATCATTAATTTTAATAAGTTAATTTAACTATGTACAAACAAATATTGTTTACTTCTTCTTCTTTTTTTACAATAATCCTGTTTAGAATAAGCCGCAAACATGATGAAAAGTGGAAACTTAGGAAATTTCTCAGAATTGTCACGTACACCCCCATCTCTGAATCCTGCATATATATGTACAGCTACAGACAGCCATTTTGTGTGTGGGTGGGTGGGTGTGTGGGTGTGGGTGGGTGTGTGTGTGTGTGTGTGGTTTTTTTTTAGGCACTTAGGCATTTCCCCATGGAGCACATGAGTGGCGCTATAAACTGCTTTCAAATTTACATATGTACATATCTTCGCTCGTACCCCCCGCCCTGATACATGGTACGAGCGAAGTACATGTACATGTACATGTACATTGTACATATCATGTACATATCTGCGTGATATCCTACCCAACGCTAGGGGCGCCATTCCTATGACATCCTGTTGCACTTTTTTCAGCGAAGTATCCGATGTTCCCCAAGCATAGTACATAATGTGCGATCTTTGAGGGTCGCACTAAACAGCGTCAACACAGCGTCAACACAGCGTCAACACATGACAGAAGCGTCAACACACCGTCAACACATCCAAAACACATTCTGAATTGACAAAAAGGGCATATAATTGTGAAACATACAATAAAGGAGAATTTCCATTGGATTGAGTTTCCATTTCGTTGTTAAAAATATCGTATTTTCACGCGAAAAAAATGACCTTAACTTGCACGGCCGTTGTCCGCCATCTTGACTTCGCACAAAGCTTGGACTACACCATTTCAAGTAGGGGTGTGTAGGTAATGACATTATCTTGTCATAAACAACAGAGGGCGCCTTGAAATATTATACAATAATGTAAATACCAACGAACAAGTAAAGAAAATTAAACAACAAAGGCAATTGCAGCGTAAACACAGCATTAAATTGTTAGTCTTTGCAGATATTTTTAACACTGGCGACCCCGGCCGCGTCCCTCTCTGTTGGTTTATTGTACAACGCTATCACCCTTTAGAATAATGGTATGGTCCGCGCTGCCATTGAGGCAACATGGCGGGTGTTCGGTAGCCGATTTCGGAGCGGCACGGAGAGCCAATTTTCTTGAACTAAAAATTGCGATTTTCAGACGTTTAACCTATTGATTTTAAGCACAAATCTTGTTTCTGTCCATACTGTATGGGTTACATACTGCTTTTGTCAATTTTAATGCATTTTGGATGTGTTGACGCTGTGTTGACGCTGTGTTGACGCTTTGGAGTGTGTTGACGCTGTGTTGACGCTGTTTAGTATGACCGATCTTTGATACATGCTTTGATGCATATATATATATGCAGCTAGCTCACGATCGATCAGCGCGGTGCATGCAGCGTCGCGCGTCGCGTCGTAACCACGCCAACACCAACCTCGTCCCATATGGTGTTGAGCAGTACGCCCCCACTACCGGGGCCAAGAAGGGGAAGGAAGGGTGGGGGAGGGGGAGAGAGAGGTCCGACTAGCGTACCGACCACAGCGGCAGCGGTGTGTTGCACCGTCCATTTAACGTGTGTGGTGGCGGTGTTTCACATCATTGACTTCATAGTCAGGCAGATTGGTGTGAAACATGATTATTTTGATGATAAAAGCATGAAAGTTGGCACACAGTAGTATAACAACATGCTCTAGATAGAGAAACTGTTTAGCTATAACAGGGTGACCGTAAGGTCATGCCCAAATTCTGCTACTTGCATTTCAAAAATCTGTCAGATTGATCAAAAATCTGCTAAATTCCCATGAATTACTCGAAATACACTATAAACACTTGAAATCACATGCAGGTGATGTAATGTTGCCTTAATTAAGGTTCAAATTACATTATAAACAGTCTATATTCATATAAAGGTGTTATGAAATTGCGTAAATTTCAGTCAAAATGAGGTTGCGTCACGACGAAATCTGATTCCCAGTGAACGTCAGCACATACACAAGGCAACCTGTCCTATTTTGCAAGGGTTTGTTTTAAAAGGTTGAGGTTTTTTTTTTAACAAATCTTCCTTTTTTTTCAAATTTGCTATGTTTTTCTGTTAAATAACCATTTTTGCAGAATGGTGCCAGAAATCTGCCAGAAAAAATCCATTCTGTCAAACTTTCTGTCAAACTCATTTTTTAACAAAAAATCTTTCAAAGTTAGCCGAAAATCAGCTAAAACGGTCACCGTGGCTATGGGCTACGTGCGCAACAAAAGAGGGCGCCCTTTTAGCATTGAAAAAGGGTAAATTAGTAAATAAAAAAAGGGTGAATATAAAGGAAAACGTAAGAGCAAATAACTGTAAGTTCAGATGAAAAATAAATTCATACCCTCAAATAATT